AAAAAAAAAAAAAAAAACCTAAAAAAATTGAGCTACCATTTAACCCAACAATCCCACTCTTGGGAATATATCCAGAGGAACATAAACTGCTCTACCAAAAAGACACCTGCACATGTATGTTCATTGCAGCACTATTCACAAGAGCAAAAACATGGTACCAACCTGCATGCCCATCAAAAATGGACTGCATAAAGAAAATGTGGTACTATACACAACAGAATATTACACAGCCATAAAGAAGAACAAAATCATGTCCTTTGCAGCAACAAGGATGCAGCCGGAGACCATCATTCTAAGTGAACTATCACAGAAAGAAAAAACAATACCGCATGGTCTCATTCATAAGCCGGCCCTGAACACTGGTCACGTGAGCACAAAGGCGGGAACAACAGCCACTGGGTGCTGCTAAAGGAGGGGGTAATAGAGGTGGGATCAAGGTCACACAACCACACACTGGAACCAGGACCACCGCCAGGGGAGAGAGGGCTCACTGGAAACCCAAACCTCACCTTCACGCAATTTACTTAAGTAGCAAATCCTCACATGTACCCCACAGCTCTAAAATGCAATGTTTTTGAAAATTGTCCCACATTTCCACGAAGTCCCAGGGCACCATGCAAGGAGACCAGTCCCAGCATGAGCACACTCTGCATCCCACCCTGGCTTTTATTTGTGTCCCTCTCCTGTTCAGGTGGTCGATATCTCAGCACAGTCTCTGTCTTCATCTTTGTAGCAATGATGATGCTGATAACAAGCCCTAGAATTTATAGATTGTTGCAATAAGCCCTCCATCCCCATCATACAACGTCCTCCTCAACCCTCAGGAGGACCCAGTGAGGAAGGCTCTACCAGTAAGGAAGCAGATGCAAAGATGCCAGGCAGACCCCAAGACAAAAGACACAGAAAGCCAGCTCGGTCTCATTCCAAGGCCAGTGCCCTTAATGGCTGCACCTCACACACTCTTCCTTGTCTCTCTAGGACTCACTGGAGTCTCCTGGGAGCTTTAAAAAACCTTGATGCTTGGCCCCACTCCCAGAGAGTCTGGTTTTGTAGATCTGGGTGGTGGCTGTGCAACCAGAGCTGAGAACTGCAGTGCTAAGGCCACGGCCGAGTGGTTCAGTCCGACCTTCAGGGCCACGCAGGACAGAGCCTCAGAAGGGGGATTGACTGAACTTGGCAAATCTTACCACTGTCTACACCATCTTGAAAAGTGAGTCAGTGCCTTATTTTTAACCAACCACCAGGGAGGAGACAGTAACATGGGGATGGACCAAGCAAGATAACCAACCCCAGGCTCCCCCAAGCCCCTACACCCCATGAATTCTCTTCCTTTGGCTTTCTGAGGTAACTCAAGCCCTGGGACCCCCCAGCATAGTTTTATGGACAAGTAAACTGAGGCCAAGTGAGGAGAAGGGATTTGGCCAGGACCACATAATGTGGCGGGGGGGGCCAGAGTTAGGACCAAGGTCTCCTTGACATTCCATACGGCTCCCTTTCTATCCAGTGTTATACATGCCTCTCCCTGCCCCTACTGGCGGATGGCCTTAGGAAAAGCAGATCACCTCCCTGGGCCCCATTTTCCAAACCTGCAATGTGGGATGGATTCTAAGGGCTCCTTGCTAGGGTCACATGAGGATCAAATGAACAGTCGTGCTGGGCCCAGGAGAGAGAGCACAGAGTTATTCACTGATCAAGACCAAAAAAAAATGCAATTGGCAGAAAGAGAACTTGTTGCCTCCCAGGAACATACTCTGAGGCCTGCCTGCTCCAGGTCTGGAACATCCTGGTCTCGGCTTGGCCACCTGTTGTGGGCTGAGGCCTGTCCATCCTGCATCTTGGCTCCAAGTTTCCAGTCCAGGCCCAGCAGTGACAGCTTGTCCCCACTCTCAGCTCATCTCTACTTCTTGACTTGTTCACAGTGACACCAACCCAGCCTACAGCCTCACAGAACTACCCCCTCCAAGCCTCTGTGGCACCACCCTGGCCACCTCACTCCCAGGCAGCCATTCCTGGGCCGCTCTCAAGAGAACACACAGGATCTCAGAGGCTCTGCCTCTGTCTGGCCTCATGACCTTAAGCAAGTCATTTGACCTCCCTTGGCCTCAGTGTTCACCTCTGATAAATAGGTAGAATCCTGTCCTCCCCTCCCCATTGCCACAATGGGATCCTCATTGGGTATCAAATGAGCCCTTGAGCAGCAGAGTCAGCACTGTCTAGTGATAAACAGCACACAGTGACATTTTGGCATGACCTAGCAACAGCCTTAGGTCAAGCGAGGATGGGGACAGAGCCTGTCCTCCCTGTCATCCTCCCTCACAAAGGCTTGGCCTGGGTGTTTCAGCAGCTGCCGCTGTTCAGCTGCTGGAGGGCTTTCTGATGCAGCAATGTCATTGTCAATTGGACAAGTGCAGGCACCCGTGGGACTACCCAGGTCAAGCAAAGCTGAAGGGGAGGGGAAGGAGGAACCAGGGCCTGAAGCCAGCAAACGTCTTAGCTCAATCACTGCAACATTCACCTTGCCCCAAGGGGGCGCTGGAAAGACATGAGGAGATGGCCTTACTGCCTGACACAGGGGTACTCCCAGGGTTGCACTGCACTCCAAGACTGCCATGCTGGGTCCAGCCCCACCATCCTGCCTGGGTTCCCTGGCTAAAGAGAGAGAGAGCACCGGCCACCACCAGGGACAAGTCTGCAAGTCCTTAAAAGCACTGGAAGGAGCTACATTGCCCTATTTAGAATAGTTAAGGGCTCTTAGTGGACATTGACCAAATAGAATGGACACAGCTCGAGGAAGAGCCAGAGGTTCCTACCTATGCCAAGAATTAACCCTTTAGTTCTTCTATTATGACCATTCCAAAGGTCTCAGGGGAGGGACCTGGGTGAGCTTGGAAGCTGGAGGGCACTCGGGGGCTTGGGGTCATGCCCATTTACCACCTGGTAAGGAATGATTCCATGTTCTATACAACTATGCCAGTGAGTACCAACTGAATAGCTTTTCCACTTAAAGTGAACCAACAAGACACCTTAGCCAATATCTAGTATTCCTCTTCTGCAAAAGCATGGGAAAATGATCCCCAACAATCATACGTCAACTGATATCATTCATTCATTCTATTGAATAAACATCTGTTGAACACTCACTATGGGCCAAGTACTCTGACAATTCCTCAGGATACAGAGTTGAGGGATTAAAAAATAGTTGTTGCTTTTAAGGAATTCCTAGTCAAGTCATATTTTAAATGATTACTATGCCACCACAATTAAGACAGTCCTTGCCAGGCGCAGTGGCTCACGCCTGTAATCCCAACACTCTGGGAGGCAGAGGCGAGAGGATTACTTGAGCCCAGGGGTTTGAGACCAGCCTGGGCAACTTGGCAAGACCTCATCTCTACAATAAATCAAAAAATCAACCGAGCATGGTGATGCGTGCCTGAAGTTCCAGCTACTTGGAAGGCTGAGGCAGAAGGATCACCTGAGCCCAGCAGGTCGAGGCTGCAGTGACTGTGAGCATGCCACTGCACTCCAACCTAGGCAACAGAGTGAGACTATGACTAAAGAAAAAAAATTTAAGGCAGGCTTAGAAGTATGGCAGGAATCAGAAGAAGGAAGGAAATGAGAATTTTCAGAGGTGTGCTATTTGAGCTGGGTTTTGAAGGATGCATAGGCGCTCAATAGATTAGGTTGAAGAAAAGACATTTCTCAAAGCTGAGACAGTGGGAGCAAAGGCAGAATGACAAGTGGGTCAGAGGAGGCTCACAAGACAGATGGTGGGTACAGAACAGCATCAGGTCCCTTTCCTGGGAGCCACTTACCTCTCGTTCTGGAGAGGCAAGCTCTGCCTGCTTTCTGCATCTCGCTTCCTTGGCCTCTTTCTCGGTCTCCCGGACCAGTTGCCTAATGAAGCCCCCTGGGATGACAGAGAAAAGGGGTGGAGGCGAGGATGGTGGGGGACTCTTGTCCTCTTCCCGAATCTGTTTTGCAGAATCAAGGAAGGAGAGAGCTGGGTGAGTGAACCAGCAGGAGCAAGCTGCCCTTCATGGAGTTTGTGATGGAGTCTGGGAGGGGGCCAGGGAGGACATGCATGACCAAGCCCATGTATGAGAGGCCACAGCAAGCAGGTGGGACTCAGCAGGACTCAGGGCGGCGGAGAGGGGAGGGTGAGAGAGTATGTGGAAATGGGACACATGAGTAGCCAAGCTTGTGCGTCAATGTGATTTCTGCCTGGATGGAGTCTCCTCACAGTATGACCTAGGACCCTCAAGGCTGCTGGCTTCCTCCTTTCCCTGGGACAGACCCACTGAAATGGCCTGCTTGGGAAGGAGATTTACCAGTTCCTAGAAGGGCATGGAACACTGAGAACCATACTCTCCTGTCACACCTCAGCTTGTGGTTAACTCTAAATTAACCACCTACTGTATGCCAGGAATATGGTAAGATAGGGAAGGGCTAGCACTATGATTTAGATAAGGCCCAACCTTGTGGCTCCAGCCCTCTCTACTGACAGTGCTGTGGCTTCCTGGTGGCTCTTAAACCAGGATCTGGGCCACCGGGGCTTCCTAACCCCAGGTGCTAAAACAGGCAGGGTGAGCCTCCAGAAATGTGTCCTCCGCCAAAGCTGGCTGCACGTGGGTTGCAACCAAGACCTCTTTGTTGGCTACAGTGACCTTGGAAGCCAAAGCATAGTACCTGCAGGGCTGACTCTGTCATGTCTTTAACCTGCATTGTTGCAACTGCTCAGGAGAATAACAGTCCCCAGAGCTTTATATGGAAGAGCCCCATGCAGGTTTAAAATAGCCTCGTTATCAAGGCCCTCTGTGTGTGTCTGGGAAGACTTGCTCTCTGATAAAGGGGGAATCTGACGGGAGGCAGGAAAGACCAGGAGACCGTGGGGGACAGCTGGCTGATGCAGGCCTCTGCCCAGGAACAGAGAGCAGGGGACGTGCACAGCCACTCACATGGCTCTCCCATCTTCCCTAAGGTGAGAGGGAGTCAGGCAAACTTGGCAGGTGTCAAGCTCTGCTTCTGCCAACACTAGGCTCAAGGCTACCCAGCCTTGAGGGGCGGTGGACAGCCAGGAGGCAGCCAGGAAGAAGCTTCTTGTCCCCTCCCCCACCCTCTCACCCTTCTGCCTCCAGCTCTTCCAGTCCCATGCACAGGGTGGGGTGGGATGCAGGGGAGAACAGACTTGGAGAAATGGCAGCCCTGCATGCTGGTTCGTGAAGAATAAGAAAGGGAAAGAAAGACACAGGGAAGAAGAGCCAGTTTCCAGCTCTCCGTGGTGAATGAAGGCAAGGACCACGGACACCCACCCGTGGCACACACCTGGCCGCCGACAGCCCTGCCTCAGCCCCCCACGTGGCCCTCCTCCCACTCACTCCCCATGCTTGTCAGAACTGCTGAGATGATCCAGCAGTCTACCCTCCTTCTCTCACTGCCAACTGAGAAACAGGAAGAGGCCGGGCAGCTGTAGGGCAATAAAGGGCACAGTCACCAGCGACCAGGACTAGAAAAGCCACGGCCAACTGGGCTGGCTGGGAGATGGGGGGGTGGGATTGGACGTGCAACACGGCAAGCTACAAGATTCCCTGCCCAGGGCGGGAAAGGGCAGACTAGGCCACCCAGGCTGGGCCTTGTTTTCCAAGGGTCATGCTGGTCCCTGCAGTGTAGCCCTGCCCCGAGCATCACTTTCCTTCTGCTCCCACAGGGCGAGGCGTGAGGAGATGGCCATGCTGAGGCAGTGCCAGGCCGTGAGTTGATGAGATGAGATGAGGTGGAGATCCTGGCCAGACAGCACGGAATGAGGCTTTATGGACACACGGAGCGCATGAGACAAATAGGCGCAGGACTGACACACAGAGATATGTGGGAGAGAGAAGAGAGAGACAGGTCAGTTCCTGGGCATGCCATTCCATCCCCACCAACGCCACCGACCAAGACCACCTGGGGGAGCGGGATGGGGGGGACAGCACCTGTCATCACTCCTGCCAGGAATATGGTCAGCAGGAATGCCACTACTGGCCATGGAGTGGACAGTGCCCTGAAACCTTTTTTCTTGGCCCCAGACTTTAAACTGTTCTTGAGGTATAACATACAATTGGAAAAATACAGAATCATATGCACATAGCTCAGTGACTCTTACCAAAAAAAAAACCCCATATAACTAGCACCCTGATCAAGATTTTTAAAATTATGTTTTGCTTCTTTTTTTTTTTTTGAGATGGGGTCTTGCTCTATTGCCCAGGCTGGAGTACAGTGGCATGATCATAGCTCCCTGCAGCCTCCAACTCCTGGGCTCAAGTGAGTCTCCTGTCTCAGCCTCCCAGGTAACTGAAACTACAGGCATATGACACCATACTTGCCTAATTTTTAATTTTTTTGTAGAGACAGTCTCGCTATGTGGCCCAGGCTGGTTTCAAATTCCTGGCCTCAAGTGATCCTCCCACTTTGGCCTCCCAAGGCACCAGGATTATAGGCATGAGCTACTATACCCAGCCTATTCTTTTATTTATAAGAAGTTCAAGAAGAGGCAATTCTAGTCTGTGGTAGTGGAGATCTGAGAAGCAGTTTGCTTTGGCTAGGAAGAGGCACGAGGGAACTTTCCAGGGTACTGGAAGTGTCCTATATCTTGATCTGAAGGATGAGTGTACAAGTGTACCATGTGTAAAACTCCATCCTGCTGTCTAGTGAAGGCTGGACATTGTGCTGTAAGTCATACCTCAGTTCAAAAAAATAGAGCCCAGGAACTTTCCTCGTCCCCCTTTCTGGTCACGGTTCTCTCAAGTGCAACCACCACTCTAACCACTGACACCACGAAATAGTGGGCTTTCTTTTTTGAGGGAGCGGTCAGCTCCACATCTGGGCCACACAAATTAGGTGAGGGCAGGAAGCAGTAGCTCCCTACTGGTCCCACGCTTTGGGGGAATGATTTGTCATCCTATTGAGAACTTTAACAAATGATCATAACTTTTGACTGAGAAAACCCTCTTCTGGGAAACAAATTTGAGAAAGTAACCCTAAACCAGAAATTTTCATCACTATGTCGCTTGCATCTTAGAAAAAGCAGACACAGCATTCAGTAACTAGAGAATGGCGACTATATTAGAGTACCTCTAACTTGAAGTGGCATTATGAATCCACTGGAAAGGGTGTTTAGGAAGCATTATTTTTGAACAGCCGTATTGAGGTATAATTTGCATGCCATGAGATTCACCCGCTGTATTAAAAATTAGATGATTTTATTTTTTTAGCCGGGCTCAGTGCCTCAGCCTGTAATCCCGTGCCTTTGGGAGGCTGAGGTGAGTGGATTGCCTGAGCCCGTGGGTTCGAGACCTGCCTGGGCAACTT